TGAAATTGCTAGCTAAAATCAAATTTGACAAAAACACTGTCTCTTGGTGTCCTCTTAAATTTTCATCCTGAAATGAGTCATGCTCACCACAATTTACTTTTTAAAGTTGCCTGACATTTTTAGATGGTTAGCAACACAAAAGCCCTTAGGCTTGGATAATTGAAAAATATTTGGGGATGGAAAAGCATATGATTTGAAAGGGATTTCTTTGAGAACCCAAAGGGAAACTTCGGCCCAAACAGAATGGAATTGACTTTCTTATGCAATTATTTTAATTAAAAATACATGTGTAGCGGGACAAGAAAAGAGATTCTAGACACCACTCCTTATAGTTTGATTGGTTGTTTAAAAGTTGGAAGCTTTTCATTTTTTCCCTTAAATATTTAAGCTTTGTATTGGATCCTAAGTGCTTTGTTCCTATTCTGACATGAGTGCCCGCTATAGACATTAAAGGTCTGTTCCACCCAGTAACACATGTTATAGTTGGAGCTACACTGTCCTCACATGTAGTTTGGAGTTATTCTGATTCTTAGGTCTCACTGCCCCGTTCACCTAAGCAGGGAACAGATATTCACCAGTGTCTATGTAGAATAAAGCATATCATTTATTTTCATCCACTGATTAGCAGCATCTTAATTTTTTTCCAAACTAAAAAAGTCATTTCAATTATAAGAAAGCAAATTACTGATTGCAGAAAATTCAAGCTATCAGAAAAATGGAAAGAAGATAATAAAACACACCTGAAATTCTACCATCTGGAGGCGACCACTGTTCACATTTTGATGTGTGTTCATCTGGGCACTTCCATGCATACTAACACGCCTGGATACAAATTTATTTAAATGAGCCTATTTAAATGCATTGTTTCATTTGATTCCTTTAAATAGAATTGCTGTTCTGTAACCTGCTTTTTCAATTAAATAATATTTCATTATCCTGTGTCAATAAATAAAGATCTACATCACTTTTTAACAGTTGCATAGTATTCTCTTACATGGCTACACTATAATTTAGTTAAATGTTCCTTATTAAGCCATCATCTAGATTGTCCCTGTCTTATACTATTATAATAAACATTGCAAAGAATAGATTTGTGTAGACATTTTGTATTTGTTTGCCTCCTTAGATTTAAATCTTAGAAGTGTATCATTTGCATTTAAATCCTTCATCCATTCGGAACACATTTTTATATACACTGGGGGCTTACTCTCTTTTCTTATAGGGTCAGTTAATCGTTCCAATGTCATTTATTGGAAAGTGCATCCTTGCCACATTGATTTGAAGTTGCTGTTATATATTATATATTAATTGCCCATGAAAATGGTTCTCATCTATTCCTGTGCCTATGTCGTACTGTCACCATTATCATGGCAGGTTCCTAGCTGGGGGTTTAGACTTCAAACCTAGAACCTCTAATTCTGTAGCCATCTGCCTGCCACTTGCTGGGGTAAAGGTGCGGTACCCAGTGTACCTCAACGACACTGTTCTGCAGAATGAAACAGAGTCCTCATGTCGGCCAGTCCTGATTTGCACTGTAGTAAGTGCCGGATAAGTATTTGGTTTCAAAAACTGGCATCTGATAAAGTTAACTGAAGAAGAGAGGGTTTATTATTACATAAGGCTACAATATAAACCTTCAACAGCATGACAGTAGCAGATCTTTTACTGCCTTTAATTTGGGTATTAGAAGGCATAGTAAATAATGGCCTGTTTTCCCAGCCTGAATTCTCAGCCAATTGTGAAGATAAAAGAGTAAGAAAGATAGCAGACAAAAATATACATTTATTTCTGATCAAGCTGATATTGGAGAAGGTGGCTTATATCTGCAGGCAGGTGGCCTTCTGGATACTGTGCCTGAAAATTAGGCAGATTTCGATCTCGCCAGCTGTGCTGGACCCCTGCAGACCAACACCATGGGGTGAGACACAGGCGCAAAGAGCAAAGAGGACACTTGCTTTCTGTGGGCAGGCTGCATCCCAAGAGAAAGGGGTGGGGGGGGCTCGGCTCTGCAAACTTCATTTCTGCTTTCAAATCTACCAATCCCACTTCCTGTGTGTCTTCCCCGGTGAGAATATAAGCTTCCTGAAGACAGTTACTGTATCTGTCTTTTCCCCCTTTTTAAAAAATCTCTCAATATGGTATTAAGACATTGTAGGACTTCAGCGAATATTTTGTTCAATGCATTAATAAATGATTGTTTTTGGTGAACTATCCTTCTTAATTTATTATTTTAAAATTACTGTATCATAGGTTTTATATCCATGAATTGATACCTTACGATCATTTCCCAAATACACATATGTAGAGGGAAAATGGTAAATAACCATTGACATTTATAATTTATAAAACAACTTTTTGAATTTTCATATTAAAAAAGACTAGTTAGCTCTACTTTATATACCTTACGGTAAAGCAAAAACATAGACTACAAAAACAATCTGGCCTTGACATATTTGATGAGTTCTTGTACGGCAGAGGAAATCATTTTGTTAGTGTAAATTTTGTTATCTAATGTATATGCTGAGAACTTTATAAATATTTTCTCTTACCTCTTGGGCATATTATTTTTGTTTTACTTTCTTTAAATATTTTAATATTTTCACTGTTTCTTTTTGTGGTTTTAGGGATTTGTTGGTAAAAGCATTATTTATTTTAAAATACTGATTTAAATTGTTTTATTTGGTTGAATGTTTCTGAGTAAAAATTCGGTCTGGCTACATAGTTACAAGAGATGTTAGGATTTAATCACAGACTGCATTTTCTGGGTCATTCATTTGATAATGGTCAATAAAATTTTGAAGTGAAATTTTTAAGACTAAAAGGGCTAAACACACTAAGCTTTAAAGAAGACATTGGGATAGCTAATGTGCAAAAAATTTATCCAATAGTGTAAATGTTAGAACTTGTTGCCCTTAAGCCTGAGGTGGGGAGCCACACATGGTTTGCAGGTAAACATGGTTTTACACACACCTTTCGGAACCGTTTAGGCTGAATGGTAATTTTTGTAGGAGTTAACAGATGAATTTCACAAATGTGTACAAAATGAGCGAAATGGATTGTAGAATACAAATAGATTACACAAAAAGAGCCTGTATTTTACATATACACATTTAAAGCTTTAAGTGTTAAATCATATATTTCAAATAACAATGTTACCATGTCCCTGAGGCAATTTAGAATTCTTGCTAAGTATTTGGTGTCTTTTTAATCTTTGTTTGGCAGGGTAATCACAATAGCCTTAAAATGAGAATTTTAGAGTTGCTTGGTTTTTTCTTTTAGTAGAATAATGAAATGAGAAGGGAACCATTTTCTTTTGCTTTTAAGACTTGATGCCCATCTCATTCTACCAAGAGGGACTGTGATTGCAAAACATCCTGGGGAAGTGTTTCTGTCCACACGGAATGCCTACCATAGCTGACTGCTGATTTTCAAATTCATTTTATCTAGATCCATGCTGTCAGATAGAACTTTCTGTGAAAATGGAAATAGTTTATAATCTGTGTTATCCAGTATGGTAGCCATTAGCCACATGGGGCTTTTGAGCACTCAAAATGTAGTGGGTGCAACTGAGGCGCTAAATTTTTAATTTTCTGTAATTTTAATTAATTTAAACTTAAACAGCCACACGTGGCTAGTGGTTACTCGACTGGACAGCACAGAATTTCTTTCGATTTTTAGATTTAGTATGGACGTGCCCCTGGAAAAGTTCGCTTTAATTTATGAATTAAATATTTGACATATGTCATAAATATTCGTTGAGCACCCAGTGAGTTTGTGTGCCTGGTGTCAGAAATACGTTTTATTTGGATTTCCCTGAATCAGCTTTTTTGGGGAAGGTGTGGAGACCTGAGGTATGTCATCCCACACACCTGTGTAAACAGGGACCCTGCTGTTTTGACAGGGGCTGTCTCTCTTTCACCCTTCGCCCCAGGGCCTACCATAGCAGGCCCATCATTCTGTGGGGCTGAGGGGGTAAGTAGGAGGTGAAGGGGACTCCTTTCACCGGGCTGTGAACTCTGGCATGCTCAGGGCTACACCTGCTGGGAGGAAGGGGCACCTATTTGAAATTCTCTCAATGACTGTTGTATGGGCTAGCGTGTTCCTGTCACTGAGATTCACTCCCTCAGCTTGCTCTACTGTCTTAATTGCTCCTGAAACTTTCCTCAACAAACCTTCTGTGGAAAAAAACACAACTCTTCACAGCCATCCACCTTTATTGTTTCAATGAATGTGAAACTTCAAGACAGGAAAGCCAAAGGACAATGACAAATAGGTATAATTGACAAGTAAAAATTGTATATATTCCATGAAAAAATAAGCACCACATGTACTCACCATCAAATTGGTTTCACTGATCAACACCTAAGTGCACATATAGGAATAACATGTATCGGGCGTCGGGCAGATGGAAGCGGGGAGTAGGGGATGGGTATATAAATATCTAATGGGTGCAATGTGCACCGTCTGGGGGATGGACACGCTTGAAGCTCTGACTCAGGGGAGGCAAGGGCAATATATGTAGCATAAACATTTGTACCCCCATAATATGCTGAAATAAAAAAATTGTATATATTCAAGGTGGACCACATGATGTTTTGATATAAATATACATTGTGGAATCAATTAACATATTAGCTAATTAACATATCTTTCACCTCACATTGTTACCTGTGTGTGTGTGTCTGGTGAGAATACTGAAGATTCCTCTCTCAGCAAGTTTCAAGTATTCATTATTATTATCAGTGTCGAACACCTTTTCTTATACTTGTTGGCCATTTATATGTTTTCCTTGGAAAAATGTCTATTCAGGTCCTTTGCCCATTTTTTTAATGTAAAGGCAACCCACAGAATGGGAAAAAATATTTGCAAACTATATTATCCAATCAGAGGTTAATATCCAAAATATACAAGGAAGTCATATAAGTTAATAACAACAATGCCCCCCAAATAACCCAATTAAAAAATGGGCAAAGGACCTATTTTTTGCTTGTTTTTTATAGGTATCTTACCTCCTGGAAGGGGGCAGCATGGCCCATGAAGACTTCTGTGGACACGTTGGTAAAATGAACCCAGGAGACCTGCAGGTATGGCCAAGGACAAAGAATTGTTGGTGGTTTAGTGTTTGAGTGTGCATGCTTGGTCCCAATTCTAGTACACTCACCCTTTCTACCCTCTCTCCATTATGTCCTTGACCTGTCCTTTTCTACAAATCCTTCCACTCAGCCTGGAAACCTGCACAGGTCTCTTGTATTCCTCTTTCACATTTTCCTTAACCCTTCACTTTTTAGTTTCCATCTAGTCTTCTTACATTTCTCAAAAGAGTAACAGAGTGACTGTCTCAACTTTCTCATCTTCCATTTTGTCCCCCACTCACTGAAATTAGGGTTAGCTTCTCAGCATATCACTTGAAAACCTTTACTGAAGCCATTCAGGTAATGATCATTTGTGATGTCCCAGTTGGCAAATTCAGTGACTGTTTCATTCTCCTCATTCTAGACTTCTCTGCTGCATTTGAGACAGTTTGCTATTTCTCTTCCAACTCATTTGCAGAGTTAGGTGTTGTCACTTAAGACAATGACCCAAACTCTTCCACCATCCTAGTTTGTCTGAGACGTGTTACAACTAAAATCTCCCAAAATGTTTGGATCATCTTTTCCAGTTTTGTAAGTCTGAACTCTATATCAAGTACTTTTCTGGGATTTTATACACACACACACACACACACACACACACACACACACACAGAGAGACACACACACATATATAGTGGAATGATAAATGCACATATTTGAATCATGTTATTTCAATGAACTCATGTTCATTGAATTTAAAGACAAAAAACCAAAAGAACAAAGAGTGATGGTGAAAAGGCAACAGTAATCTCTCACTGGAGCATAGTGTGAAATGGAGACTGCCTGCAAGGGTAGATATGATGACTGGAGGTGTCCTGATCATGGTAGCTCGTGGTGACTTCTGCCATCCGCACCATCGGGCTGCATTAGCTGCCATCCATGTGAGGTGCTGGTCAACACTTGTTCTATCATTATAATTTCACGTTTGATTAGGATGATGATTGCATAGTGCTTTCAGTTTATTCAGCGTTTTCATATACATGATCTCTTTGAGATAAGTACTGTTTTTTATCTCATTTTAGAAACTAGACAATGGGGATTTAAGGACATTTTTAAAAAAGGATGCCCATGGGCTCAGAGCTAGTAAATGGGTGGGCCTCCAAATCCAATAGGTGGGCCATTTTAAGAAAGATATTGCCAAACTAGCTTATATCTAAAAAGGATAACCAAGGTACTGAAAATATGAAGAAAACTGTCAATGGAACAGGAAAATGCTTAAAAATTGGAGGATGTCTTTGAAGGACACCAGTAGCTCTCTATCATCAGACAGAAGAAATGCAGCATGAGAGGGTGTTTAGATCTACCTTGTATTAGAGCAGGGTCAGCACATTTTTTCTATAGTGGCCAAATAGGCTTTGGGGGCCATGTGTTCTCTGTTGCAACTTCTCAACCCTGTTATTGTATCGTGAAAGCAGCCACAGACAGTACGCCAGCGAATGGGCATGTGTGTGTGCCTGTAAACCTTTATAAAAACAGCTGGCAAGCTGCATTGGACCCTTAGGCTATAGTTTGCCAACCCCTACATCAGAAGGTTTAACAAATCTTTTCAAATAGAAGAGAGAGGGAAATCTATTTAGACTTAACAAAAGAAAGAAATCTCCAAAATATGCATTGACCTTCTTTCTGATCTTGGAACTAGCAATGCTCATTCTTGTCTCAAAGTCTTTTTTAACATGCTGTTGTTGCCTTTGCACTGAATCCTCTTCCTCTTCCCCTTCCCCTGGTCAGTTCTTACTCCTTGTTTGGATCTCACCTGAAGGCTGCACCCTCAGGTAAGCTGCCTTGAACAGAGCAGACTGCTTCACGTACTTACAGAACTCCGTCATTCTTCACAGCACCAAGCGCAATTGTAACAGCAATAATTATTTGTGTAATTGTTCGTTTAAGGATTTTTCTCCCCACAAGGGCTGTGTGGAAGATGCTGCTGGTAGCCTGCCTCCTAGCCCCTTGGTCTACCTTTGAGTTTAGGCGGTGATGGTACCCATGTGTGCACACAGCAGCACATCTCAGCCACCCTGCCTGAGGGCTTCCTCCAGCCCGTGTGCCGGGCCGCCTGGATGTGCTGGGGATTTAACACTCCCGTGGGAACTCCTGCACAGTGAGGGGCGGGAATCACAGTCTCAATACCCTTGCTTCTTCTCTCCTCCATGCAACAATTCTAAAGTGCATCTGCGTGGTTCCCAGTGGCGTTGAGCCCCAGGGGTTCACAGATGTAACCTGCTCATTCACACTCCTCTTTGGCTTTCTCCCTTGCCTGTCTCACTCTTACCTACTCGCTCACTTGTGCTTTCAGCATCACTTTCCAAATAAACCACCTGCACTTAAGTCCTTGGCTCAGGATCTTCTGTGGGAGAACCCAAGCTAAGACAGGCAGGAAACACATCTAACATGATCCATCCCTTCATCCCCAGACTCTGAGATTAGTGTCCGGGACTGGCCCCCAACTATGCTTTTAATAAAAAAATAGACAAACACTTGAATATGTACAATGCTGGAGGCAATAATCGTTTCTCCAAGTAGTGAGGACTCCATTACCGGAACTGAGTAAGCAGAGAGGCAAGTCAGCCATCTACAGTGTAGTGGATACTGGGGGCCTCTAATGGTGTATTTAGGCCCACACATGTGTCCTCCAGCTGCTGGAAATACTGGCTACTGAGGCTCACAGCTGCATCCTTCCCTGGGACCTGCCCTCTGCAGCAGGGAATTGCCTCTCCCAAAGTTGTGCTTTCCACTTGGGGGTGGCCCACAGTGAATGGCTTGCTGATGTGGAGGTGTAAAAACTTGGCCACCTTGCTTCAAGTTGGGACAATTTTGAAAGTTCATCCCAACTCCACGTAGGACTGGCTAAAGCCTCTGTTTTAACTGCACTGCTGGTTGGCTTCTTCCCCTGCCTAATCCTGCTTTTCTCAAATCTACCTGCAACTCTCTATCTTAAAGCTTAATGTAAGACTCAGGGATATCAAAGAGGGTATTCTTCCATTTGTAGGAATTCCAGTTCTGATGCATTGATTTCAAATGAGGAAGCATAGGAAGCATCTAGAAAACCAGAAAGGGCTCCAGCAACCGTCATCGATGTTTGTTATTCCTCCAGATGCCCAGGGACTCTGACAGCAGCACCTGTCCCTGCCTTATTTAGCAACGGTGTTGTAATTGTTCCATCTGCAGACTTGCTGAGGGCACAGTTAGCTTTCCTTTTTGTTGGTTTGGTGTTTGCAGTGGATGACTGCAGGCCGGGGCATCCTGCACGCCGAGATGCCTTGCTCAGAGGAGCCAGCCCATGGCCTACAACTGTGGGTTAATTTGAGGAGCTCAGAGAAGATGGTGGAACCTCAGTACCAGGAACTGAAAAGTGAAGAGATTCCCAAACCCAGTAAAGATGGTGTGACAATTGCTGTCATTTCTGGAGAAGCCATGGGAATAAAGGTAAGCCATGCTATGTGTGTCTATGAAACCTGAGTTGTGCCATGACATAAGGCTGGCCCCTTCTGGGTCACCAACTCTCATTGGGTTTATCATAATTCACATCCCTTGGGTTGCACTTGCTTCATAAGTATCAGAATAAGTGCAACCTAAGGGAACCCAGAAATTTTTCTGCTGCATGAAAACCCATAAAGTTAGAGAATTATAAGAAAGCAAGCCTATAGATGGAATTTAGTCAAAAAGCAATTTTCAAGATACATCTTAATATGTGTGCTGATTTAGCCCAATTCCTTTCACTTATAGTACAATTTTATGCATTTAATTATAGCTCCTTGGTACTGCAAGATCAAACCTTTAAAAAGATCAAAAAGCAAGACCAATGGCACTTCTCAAAGAATTATATAAATGACTTATGCCCAACTTAGTAAGGGAAGCACATTACTATATTATAGAAAGTTTATTTTTAAAAATTAAGTTGACCATTATTTATTTAACCCATACATAACATGCCCTGTGCATTCTTCTCAACTGAGACTTTATACTGTTTAGGGTAAGGGTCCCACCTTTTTGATCAAATGAGATAAACTTAGGCTAAAGATTACGGACATATTTGTGGGAGGAAAGGGGTGTGGCAAGTACTGTGTTAATTGCACACCAGAACTGCTCCTGAAGAGGCTAAGATTCCTCACACCAACCAGTCTGAGGTAATGGTGAGCTGGGTAGTGTGCTCTCTTAGGTTGGGTTTCCCAGAAGCAGACCCTGAGATGAGGATTCCTATGCAAGTGATTTTTAAGCAAGTGCTCCTGGGAAAACGTGAAAGGAACCAGGACAAGGTAGAGGAGGAAGCCAAGCAAGGGTGCCATCTCAGGCAAAGTCCAAAGAGAGTGGCTTCTACTTGATCCTGCAGGGGACCGGGGAGGATCAGTATGCCTCAGAGTTGTCCTGACCCACCGTGGGCAAGGGAGCTGGGCTTTCATGTTTCCTCACCCACAGACATTGGTTATGGCCATCAGCTTTGGGGTACAGGGCACAGAAATGGTTAAAAGGGATCCGAGACGATCTGATTGGGGCCTTGACATCAAGTACCACACATGGCACCTGGCATTGAGAGCATTAAGATATTGGGAGCTACTTTGCCATTCTCCCAGTGGTCAACCAGCACTTAAAACTATTTTAAATACTAACTTATGTAAATTTTAATTTTTTAATATGCATCCCCAGGGATAAGGGCTTGGCAGTGACTACTAACCAGCCACTCAATGGGATGCATTGCACATAGTTAACAGAGAGGTCATGACTATCGGTTGGGACTTACAGTTTTTGTATTTCCCTGCACTATAACCACAGTCCTTTACCTATGCCATGCCTAAGTGTATGTATTATTTTGCTTTGTGTTTCTAATGCAAACAGAAGTAATTGAAGGAAAAAAATCAAAGTTTGCTCCCCGTTAAGCATATCTGACTGCTGTCCACACCCCTGGCAGACCTATTGCTTATTTTGCTGTTGGAAACAAACCTCTGTTGTGTTGCTGGGAGCTGTTTCTACTTCACCAAGCACTGGGCAGTGAGTGCCCTTTTTCATTTGTTTGCAAAGAGTTTCCTTCCCTTCAGCTCCCGCAGAGGAGAGTTCAGATCCTGTGAGGTCTTCCTGGTGTGAGGCCAAAGGACATGGTTGGGTGTAGTATCAGGCAGAGAGGTCTAAGGGGAGTTGAGTTAATGCAGATGTGAAGCTGCTCACTGTGTCTCACGTGGTGTTTTTCATTCTGTGTTCCCAGGACTCTAGGGTTCTGGGGACATGCCTTCAGGGGATATTGAGCCATGTGAGTAGTGAGGTCAGGAGGTCCCCCCTCCACTTCCACCAGAGCACAAGACTTTGCCCAGTTGTGTATTTGAAATTGTCCATAAGATTTCATTTAGAAAAATTGTTGAGCTGTCAGGAGATAAAAAGAGAAATCAGACCAGTGATTTAATAGATAAGCAAAGCCAGCAATATCATGAATCCTTAGAGTTTACAACTGCTTCTCATTTATATAAAACATAAGGCAATTTTAAGGTTGGAGCTGGTTCCAGGTACAATCGGGATATTTTAAAGCACTTTCAAGCAGCAGACCATGTAGTTTTGCAATCACGACCAAGGATTAGAGACCTGAGGTGATGTTTAAACTTTGTAAAATAATGTCTTAGTAGCTGCAAGCCTCTATTATTTCTTTTTGTCAAGTAAAATCTCTGAAGTGAATCATATTCTCCTAAGTAAATGATAAATCATTATTATGAGAGCATTTTAATAATAAGGCCTCTTGGAACCTTGGGCAGCATTAATTTGGATTTCAAAAGGCAGCGAGGTGCCGTGGTTACTGGCTTGGACTCTGGAGACAGAATGCCTGGGTTAGAATCCCTCCCATGAACTGGCTGTGTGGCCTTGAGCAAGCCACTTAACCTCTGTGTGCCTCAGTTTTCTCATCCATAAAATAGGGTTTCTGTGAGGATTAAGTGACTTTTTTTATACACTAAGCTCTCAGAATAGCACCAGACACGTTGTAAACACCACATAAGTGGTAGCTGTTATTATTATTTTGATTACTTCGTGGTAACTCAAGCAGGAGCAGGAGCTGGGCTGAGATTTATGTCTGCAATCTATGCTAAATGGATTTGCTGCGATTTAGAAAGGTAGTTAACGTGCCCTGAAGAAAGGACACTAGTGTGAGTCATCGTAAAGATGGGGAGGGGGGGCGATTGGCCATTTCTGTGTAGGTCTCATAAGAAACATAGTTTTGCACATCCGAAGCCTTCATATCTGCTCACCAAGGAATGACTGGGTCTTAAAATGTATAGATCTACCATAAAAAGCATCCGAAGATTGTTTTGCATCAGGAAAATAATTTTAAGTTAAATTATGAGTTGAGGCTGAGAATATACCTTTCAAGAGATTAATGTATTTATAACCAATATAGAGTCAACAACTCCCCTCGCTGCAACTAAAATATCTAGTTGGAGTTAGTAATGAGTGGAAGTGGAATTAGTGACCATTCATTCCAGTGCTTCTCCGACTTTCATACTTACGTGGATTACCCGAGGGTCTTGATGAAATGCATTTTTTACAGGCTCCCAGGTGATGCCTGCTGAGGCTGCGGTCTAGGGGCCACTCTTTGTAACATGCGTGGGCGTGGGATCCAAGACGCAGCAGTTTACCCATCTTGAGAATAGTTTGATTAGGCTCCTATAGAAGGTGTTAAATGGTCTGGTTCTGCAGCTTTTGACGAATCTTATTTAACCTTTCAGAACTTTAGTTCCTACATCCACAAAAAAATGTGAGGGGATTTTGTGCAAGATGCCATATGCCTTTATGAGCGACAACACTTGTCTTTTTGATATTCCCAAAGGTAGATGTATGCCTGTTTCCCAGGTTGTATGTGTCTGAGCATTTATTCAATCTTTGGAGAGCCAGAGCCAATTTTGAGCAAGATTCTGCCAGGACAGCACAGTCTAAAGTGAAGGCTAAAAGGGGAGAAAATATAAAAATGGGATAGTTTGAATAGTTTCTATCACTTCTGGAAGGTCAAAATCACATGTTTATTTCATGAGAGTACAAAATTCTCCAAACCTCATTCCATCCTTATCAGTCAGCCAATCAGCAATATTTATTACCAGCTCTCTTTGGAACACAATTCTTTTTCCAAAAAAAAAACGCCTCTACTTGCCTCTTGCTGCTCTAAATTCCGTTGTCAGATGCAAACCTTGAGGAGGCCTCAGCCCCACTGGGGTCAGAGAAAGGCAATCTGGAACCAGATGGCCTTGGTTCAAGGCCAGCTCCACCACTGACTCACTCTGGAGAAGTCACTTAAGCTTGCTGGGCCTCTGTTTTCTCATCTGTAAAATGGAGATAATCATAATGACCCAGCTCGGAGGGTTGTTGGGAGGATTAAATTGGTTAATATATGTAAAGTACTAAGAACTGGTGCAGAGTGAGCTCTTCATAGGTGGTTGCTATTTTTACTTCCATGAAAAAGCTTTGCGTTGTGTTCATGTGTCCTACAGACATAACAAAAATAATGTTCCTTCTGATGGGCAGATGAATACAATATTCATGTATTGGATGATAGCTAAGTTTTTAAAAATTTAATTTCCAAAGTAGTTTGCCAAATATTAAAATGTTTTTAAACATTTACATTACAGTGTAATTCACTCAGCTCTTACTTACTGTGTGCCCTTAGCACCTGAAACATACATAAAAGATGATGAATAAATATTTTCAAATGAGTAAATGAAATGATTAAAATGCTGGAATAAGAGAAACTAAGGTAAAGTAGTAAGAAGATAGACAATATAGGGATTAAGAAGGATTGAAATGAGCTTACTCAAAAATTAAGAGAATGATAAAATTAGCTAAATTACATGTTAAATTGTTTAGGGGATTAGGACTTAGGGAAATAAAAACCAGATTGATTTTTTTTCTTTAAATGTGAACTGTTTTTGCAAGACCTAAATTGTTCCCTGCAGGTTTCTTCAATTCAGACAATGACAGCAATGGTGGCCAGAGGCTTGGAGGCTTGTGGTTCCCCTTGGGGTCCACAGATAGGTGTCATTTTATCTGCTTTAACTTTGTCCGTGTGGCTTTTCAGGGCATGGCTTGATCTCTAGAATAATGGACCTACTTGCCAGCTTTCTAGGTGTTTCTACCAGATATCTCCCCTCCCTTGCTTTGGTTTAGCTCTACAAGCATTGGAAGACCCCCAAGTCCCTTGGGCGATTCTCTCCCAGCCAGAAAGCAACCTACCTGCTAATCAGCCTGTGTTGGTTGTGGGCTGACACACGATTTATGATCAAGCCTGTGATGATCACCCCCAGTGTGGAGAGCTGATGGGGGCTCCAGGATAGGGCAGGCCGTTGGTGAACACACACACTTTTTCCTGTACCAGAGCTAGAGAGAAGTAGCTGCTGACAACATTTTCCAGCTTTTGTCTTCATCCAGGAGATTTCAGGGGCAAGATGTTATTTAGAGCACTT